AGCTCCTGCTTTGTATAAATTATGAGAATAAGGGATGTGGGAGAACTTTGAGGTAATGAGAAAATATATATATAATTTGAGAAAGCCAATCAGTTTTTCTCTGGACTTTTAACAGATTGCTAACAGATTTGCAGATTTTGTTCCTAAAACTTCCTTGTGTTTTTCGATGGGATGTTCAACTTTATTATTCATGTTTCTCTTGCTCTGTAATCAACTCAACTGAAATCAGCCGGACTGCTGTATGATTAGATGATTCACAATTGAACCTGCCCCTGTCATTCCCCATTTGGGCTGTGCCTACTGATATGACCTCACCCCAAACTCGAGGTCATATCAACGCCAAATCAGGAATGGTTAAAAAATGAGAAGTATTTTTGCTTTACAAAAATGTAAGCCATTTCCTTTTGGTGGAGAGGTCTGACTGGATTGGGGGTACTCACTCCCATGGAGTCAGTGTTGACTCAGAGCCACCCCCTGGGGGTTTCCGAGATGGTAACTGTTTCTCCCGAGGAGCTACTAGTGGTTTCAAACTGCCGAACACGCAGATCACAGCCCAATGGTTAACCGCTACGCCACCAGGTCGCCCAAGTAGGCCATTTACATCCATCTCTCCTTCTCTTTCCTGGAACATGGGCTTAGAGGTGCCGCCTCATAACTATTATTTGCGTCGGTGATCATTGGTGACCGTTTTGGCGCTGACTTGAACGGTGTCATTGGAGGAGTGCTGTCATCGCCAGGGCTCTCTTGATCTGCGGCCTTTTCAAACTGAGCTTTGAGCTGGAATACAGATGCAGCAACTATGAGAAATAATGAAAGCCGTCACCACTGTCGGCAGCAGACGCTGGGTGTCCGTCCCCCACAAATCATGGACATCTGTATTCCGGACTGGTGCCCTTCAGGGCTGTGCCCGCAGAATGGCGGTGCCCGCAGAGTTTGACGACTTTCAAAAGGAATAGGTATCAGGGTTAGGCGTCATGTAATGAGCACAAATTCTTTCGAGTGGGATACTCTCCCTAATTCTTCCCAGAACTTTGTCATTTGGGGGCTTCCAGCACCTCCAAATAGCACTCTGTATCAATTCTAACTGTAGTAGGTTGAAAGCAGACCTGTCTATGATCTTAGGAATCCAAGTGGTATTGATGGTTATATGATCAGAAGATCATTGGCAAAGATGCATACAAATAGTTAACAAGGTAATGGTAAGAAATGTTGACCTTGATTTGTTTAGCTAAGATGTAAAGATTTTTGAAGGTCAAAGGTGTCCTTGTGTAGTGTTTTGGAGTCTAACTGTGTCTGACCCTCTAACATTAAGCTGCTGTGGCCTGCAGTTTTGAAGAGTGAAGCAAACCAGGGGGAGAGAGAGAAGGGGGAGAGAACAGGAAATGGAGTGAGGTGTTTCAGGAAGTTGTCAGGAGTTGACTGATTGATTCCAGATGGAAAGGGTCAGCCTTCCTGACCCAGGAAATACTCGCTAGGGGAAAGCAGTTGGCTTGTGGAAGGGGAAGGCCTGGGAGTGAGACAATGCTGGAATGCGCATTCCACTTCCCTCAGTCTGAAAACATTCAGAACTGTTAGCTTCTCCGAACAGAATAATATCAGTGTTGTCATCATTCATCAGAAAACAGTGAAGGAAGTTAAATCCGAAGCTTTGAATGTACCAAATGTATCTTCCCCTCCACAGTGGAGCTCCCTTTCCCACAAGTAGAGGGAATTCACCTAAGAGTCAGCACGTCAGCGTACGTATCTTGATATATAAGAATGCCAACCTAATACAGTTAATTTCAGGCGGTGGACTTTGCCACTTATGCCTTTTGCATTTTGCAAACTCATTTTAATTGGCAGGCTAGTCTAGATGGCTTATCGTTTGAGATACTTGAGATATTAAAAAGGAAGAACTTGTCATATACATAAGTACACACACACATGCACACAGACACACATTTGGACATCATTTAAACTCTTGTAATAAATTTTGCAGACACTGAAATAATTCAGGTTAATTCCCTGGCTGTCATGAGAGACCGGGGCTAGCCAGCAAGAGATTAAAATTTATTTCCATTGTTAATAGAAAATAATGAAGTGCATCTGAACCATCATGGTATGTCATTCAGGAAATGTTCGCTTTGGAACTAAGTCTCACTCCACCCAAATGGACAATGATGAAATCAACTGGCTCGTGACAGTCCCATATTTTGTGACAAGAATGCATGGGGAGCATTAATGTACAGCATGACAAGCACCTTGTGGAATGAATTAAAGTGATCGCAGAGAAAATACTCTTTATATCTACTTAGTCCCCAGAGGTCCCCCTCCATGCACCTAGGTCAGCTCATTCACAATTAAAGTCTGAATCACCCTCTCGCTTCTCAGAGAGGACAGCTCTGTCTGTGAAAGTCCACTCGTACACACCATTTGTGACAGTGGTCTCTTCCCCCTTTGCTTCTGTCCCCTCGCTTGTGATTTTCGTACAGAGCAGCAGGGCAGATAAGGTGCTTGCAACCTGCTCGTGCAGCTCACTTTTGTGACCTTGAGTGGAGGCCCGGCCTTTCCCTTTAAGCAGAATGTGATTTTGTGCTGTGTTGAGACTCCTCTCAGAAGAGCTCGTGCCCCTTGGTGAGCTTGTGTGGAGTGATGAATGTCTCTTGTCTTTTGGTTGCCAGGCAGGATTGCAATGTTTTGGAAGGACTTTTCCCAGGCCTGAACATGTTAACATTTGCACCATGAAAACGGGGCCAGAGATAGACAAGCGGTGCCTCTTCATTATGAACGAGTATATCAATGATATGTTTCCTATTGACGACATGGATTTCTTTAAGTTCACCGGGAGACAAGACAGAGCAGCACCCTACTGTATCTGTCATGCATTCACAGTGAGAAGCTGAAACATGCAAGAGACGCAGAGCAGATTGAGAACACATAGCCTGATGTTTTTGAATTACTGGGGCCTGTCAGGATACCCAGCACATGATGAGTGTCCACAGAGAATCTGTTGAGTTGAATGATTGATACTCATTTATGCCCCCATTGTGTTCATGGTACCTTTAGCATGTGGATAGAGGAAATGTTCTGTGGATTTATATGTCTTAGGGGTTCACTCAAACCTATTAATTAAAAAAATTAAAATATGCCATCTAAACAGCTGTTTAAGATGAGAATAATCAGATGAGTGTGCCAGAGGCTGGAGGTTGTCTGGGAAGAGACACCAGACAACTTACTGAGAGATGGCTGTGTTTCACACGGTGGGCATGATATGGGCTACACAGGTATGTCCATCTGTCAGCATCACAAGGCAAAGATTTATATGTTTCCATGAGTCTCTGTTTTATCTAAATAAAAAATCCTTCCAAGGCAATCATCTGCACCATTGAGTAAGGGAATGGGGAGCGTGGTAGAGATGAAATGAGAATGGCACCATTTGGACAATTCTTGAAGCTGGATGACAGCTACCTGGGGATTTGTTACTATTCTGTGAGTTTGAAAATTTCCAGAACAACAAGTTTAAAAGTTGTTATCTACTGAATCCTCTGGTATATTAGGAGGCCAGCTGAGCCAAAGATTTTGTCCTTCATTGAAAAAGCAAGGAATGGGGTGAAATAACAAGTAGATATAATAAGTGCAATAACAAAAAAATTACAAGTGGAATTTCAATGGAATTCATTTGAGGGTATGCAGGAAGAGCCAATTTTGGACATTTATTATGTACCTATTCAAATGCCCTTCTTCAAAAGCTCTATCCATATGCATGACTATACATATAACAGGTTCATTGCTCCAAAACAAATTGATGTGAATAAATGACTTTAGCTGAGACTAGACATATTTCTAGGAAGGCTCGTCTTCCTGGATCAAAGAAGTCTGAGACCCTGCGCAAGGCCAGTCTCCCTCAATATACCTGCCCTGGCTGCTCAGACCTTGGAAGATCTCTGCCTCTTTGAATGTCTCATATGCCCCTGAACTGCAGCACACATGATAAAACCCAATTAGATATCATACTCTGTACCCACGAAGGGTCAGTCATATTTTTCCAACTTGAAAGTAAGTTCTTCGAGAGTAGAAGCCATGTCTTCTAACATTTGGTAGCTAGCCCCCAGAGTCCTCTTTTACAGAACCCCATCCAGAGAGATTTGATGATTTATGTCATCCGTCTTATTGATTGATTAAACAAGACAGGGGTGAGGCAAGTAGGAGAACTCATCTGAGTTTGTCACCCACCGGACTCTGTATTAAATGCTTTCCATGCACTCTTAACACCTTGTAGCCTCACAAAAGCCTTGTATGAAGCCATTGCTATTTATGTTAAACAGATAAGAAGACTTATTTTTGGAAAGATTAACAAGTTAAAACATAGCATAATTGAGATTTGACACCTGTCTATTTATCTCCAGATCCATTACTCTTCCACTACTCCACACCCAACCCTTGCCTTTGCTCAGATTAGAGAATAAATGTCCTGTATTTTCAACCTTGAATTTTGGCAACCTCATATTCTTGCCAACAGCCTGTGCCTTTCTGCTGCGGCTCACCAATGGGCAGGGACACCACACACCATGATAAGCCAGCATCTGGAAGCCCGGGCTTGGATTAGGACATATCAGAAGGACAATAGCTGATCTTCCAGTTGGAGCTTAGATCTTGGTTTCCTAGTCATCCACAATTGGTGCCTAGTTGACTCCAGCTTAAGAATCACTGGGAATGCTTGTCCATGTCCTTCTGATATAGAATAAGGTTTCTAAAAACAGTAGGCAGATGACCAGTGTTTGAACACAACCCATTACAACACACAGAGAAGGGCAGCCTCTCCTCCCCAAAGGTTCTGCTATAATGATAGCAAGAGAACAAACCATTGAGATCCCCAGATACGTCCTTGTCCCAAGTGCTACTCCATATCACATGCATCATATGAGAGTCTGGCCAAAAAGAGTTCTGGCGTCTTACCTACTTTATGCGAAATTGACACACTGATCATCCCCGCCCCCATTTTTTTTCTTGGTAACACACAGGTTGTATTGTCAACAACCGTGAATGTGGATGGACATGTGCTAGCTGTCTCCGACAACATGTTTGTTCATAACAACTCTAAGCATGGACGAAGAGCAAGAAGACTCGACCCTTCGGAAGGTATGGCTGTGGGGCTCCGGAATGGAACAGAAATGAAGCCTCCATGGGTTTCCTTGTTTGAACTTCAAATGTATGTCTGTGATAAAGAGTGGCCCAGTGTTCAGAATCACGTGGGTTTGGAAATGAAGTTGTGAACACTTGCTGGCTCCAACCTGAGTGGTTGTAGCCCCCTTAATTGGCCCAGCCCATGCCAAGGTCCCCATGTCTCACTGTCTCATCCATTCAGTTCTGTGTTTTCCTTTTCGCTAGACGGGCATTTCAGGCAAATGTAGGCCCATGACATCTTAGTTAAACAGGAACATTACAGTGCCAGACGTGGTTGAATAAGTGTCAGATGTGCCCTTAAACAAATTGTGAGCCAAAACAAAACAGTGTGCAGAATGAAACTGACACTAATTGATTTTTGTTTGCTTGGACAAGAAGAAATCGTGGTCTGCTCTGGGTCATTTTCCAAGTGCATTAAAGTAATTAGAAATACCGGTAACTGTTAAACTTCAAGTTGTTCCAAAACATTAAAATATATCAATTAAGACAACTGACAAAACAAAGGGAATTCCACCTTAGTTCTTCCCATTTCTTCCATTGTCTGCAGCTCCCTGGTCTATGAAGACATTAAAATACAGCATAAATGGCCAATCTAGGCAACTCCGTTAGCAAGATGTTTTGTTGTGTACTGCCCACCAGCTCCCCCTTTAACCCAGCCTTTAAAATGTGTCTTGTATCATTTCAAATAAGAATTAATGAACTGAAAGAAAATGATTGCATCAGTAAAGAATTTGGAGTGGTGTTAATTCTCCTACAGTGGGCACTGAAAGGGGAGAAGAAAATCCCAGGGTTGAGAACTAGGAACCCATCCAGTTTTCCCCTGACTGATTGGATGTGATTGACTGGCTGTTCAAAGGAGGCTCATGTTTTTGGAGTCCTGCCAAAGTTCTCCTTCACCTTTGACCCTGTCAACTTTGGAAATGGAGTGATGGATTGACTTTAGTTATGGCCTGAAAACCAGATTGGGTTCCTGTTGGGGTGTAAAGTCCAGAGGCCTTGAACATATGGAAGAAGGGGAGAAAATTCTTCCTATAAAGTGAGTAAAGTGATTAGAAATTATCTCTTGATAGAGCTGGGGGTGGGGGAAAATCTTAAACTCGGATAGATTTGGCTTTCTCCTTCTCTCCCCCTGGCCCATTAACAAGCCCTGTAAACCTTAGCATCTTGTAGTCTGGGGCAGAGGAGGTGGGGAGAGAAAAGGGATTTACACGTTTCCAGTGTGATCAACTTACAAAAATATGGGAAAAACAACAGAGTTTTATAAACACTCTTTGCACAATTAGCCAAGTGTTTCACTTTTTCATACATAATGGCCAACTCATTAGGTTTTAATGGCTGGTGAAAACCAACCACCAATTAGGGAAGGTTGGCAAGTCAACAAAGCACAGCTTGAACTCTTTGGAATGACAAACAGCTTTCAAGAGCAGCCCATCCCAGAAACTCCAAACTTCAACCATGGATGGATAGAACTGACGGTTTTCTTTCCTATCTTCTTAGCTACCCCCTGCATCAAAGCCATCAGCCCAAGCGAAGGCTGGACCACAGGAGGAGCCATGGTCATCATCATTGGGGATAACTTCTTTGATGGTCTCCAAGTGGTGTTTGGGACCATGCTGGTATGGAGCGAGGTAGGCAAGGGCAACTTGCTTCTCGGATTGCCTTGTCCCAAAGGGTTTTTTGCTGTTGTTGTTGTTGTTTTTTAATTTTGAGAGGATCAGTTATTCCTGAAGCATTAGAAGCATTGTTGAGTATCGAAGCAAGGGAAAATGACATGCATGTCATGACTACAGAGATAAGACCCTTTGAAAAGATAAATATTCCTTGTGTTATTATTATTCACAATGGTAAGACATTAGAATTGCCCTAAGTATTGAACAATGGGAGATTGACTAGATAAGTGAAAGAATATAATTCTAGTATTAAGAGAGTGTGTTCTGAAAAATATTCATGACACAGAAGGGAAAATGCCTACACTATAATGCTGAATGAAAAAAAAAAAAAAGGACAACAGTGCCTGTGGATGTATTGCTTAATCACGTAACATGCAGCCATGAGGAAATATACTGGGGACACATACCAAATAGTAATATTTTTGACTCTAGGTTGTGAAATATTAATATATTTTTGATATTTTCCCGTAATTTCTCAATTTTTAAAACTGGGTGTGTTTTACTTTCACAATCAGAAAAACAACAAAATGTATTACCGAAAGATAATAGTGCTAGGTTGGGTTTGGAAATTGCCGCATTGTTACTTGAGATCATCAGCAGTAGAAGAGAGAAGACCTAGATTGGTCTTTTCCTAGGTTGGGTTAAAAGGAAATTCCAGAGGGAGACAGAGAGAGAGAGAAAGAGAGAGAGAGAGAGAGAGAAACTTTAAGAGTGTGAATGGAGCCCAGTGAGTGTGTCAGTTTCCCTGGAGCAAGGCAAGTTCAGGCTAGAGCCCAGTGTCCTCTGAGATGACTTGTCTAATAGAGATCTCTCCTCCCCACTGCTTATTCCTCAGCTGATCACTCCTCATGCCATCAGAGTGCAGACCCCTCCTCGACACATCCCTGGAGTGGTGGAAGTGACCTTATCTTACAAATCCAAACAGTTCTGCAAAGGAGCCCCTGGCAGGTTCATTTATACAGGTAAGTGAGAGAGGCGCTGTCTGCCAGGGAGCCTGGCTCCCCGTGAGAAGGTCTCTCCACTTTAGAATCCTTTTAGTTTCTTGGGTTTTGCTACGAGTGTGAGAATAGTGACCTAGAAGATAGCACAACAGGTGGGGGAAATGTGGACTCAATTCTGAATTTGTATTTTATTGAGGTAGTTTCTACATGGCCTGAGAGATGGTCCTGGCAGTTCATTTCAGGCATACAGTCTTACAAATGCAACTCTTCTAGAATTCTGCTAGATAGTCTTTTGTTCAAGTAACTAGATAAAATAATTATACGAAGTTGCTTGCTATCACTAAGCTTTCTTGGAAAGGATCCAAGATACCCTTTGCCAATGATGCTGCCTCGTGACTCATCTTACAGGCTTTTGAAAGGGGAGGTCACTCTAATAATTATTGAATGCCAATAAATATGAGTCCCAGGTACAGACAACATGCAGGGTATATTCTCTATTTCAACATGGAGAAACTTTTATAGAGGAGGCAGTAGAACTGTTGGAGAAACAGTCAATCAAGATGTTTGGTATTTACAATGAGTGGAATAAAAGTTTCAGTGTGTGCTGGAAGAGTGAGGCAAAGCTCCAAGGAGGAGAAGGAAGTCAAAGAAGGTTTTTAAAGATGGGGAGAATTTGGATGGCCAAAGAGAACAGAGGAGAATGTTCTAACTACAGGGAAAGTCACATGTGGAAAGGCACAGAGAATGAAATTTGCAGGTGGACAGAGAAGCAAGAAGGAGATGGTTCAACAGTGATGGTCAAGTACATTTGGGTTGGATCAGAACGTAGGCTCCATGAGCTAGATCTGGAAGGAAAGGCGTTTATAAACGTAAAGCTTTGCATGGTCCTTTGAATGGGGTTGGCAAGAAATAAAAACATGTTGAAGGTTCTCATGCAAATCAATTGTCTTAGTAAAAACAGTAACTGTTGATATGAAGATTAAATAGGAGGACGACTGAAGGCACAGAGTTCAATTAGAATAGGGTATGCTGAAAGAGGAAATAACAGGCATCGAGAAAAATATATAGGCCAAGAAAAAATCAGGCGTATGACACATTTTTTAATAATTTTATTTTTAGTATAGTTTTTTTCTCATTTGAACTTAGCCTCCAATTCTCAAGAAGTGTAAATATCTAGTTAGCTATCAATTAAGAGTAGGTGGAAAAGGGTAATTTTAAAGAAAAATGATTTAAAATTTTGTCTTTGACTTTTCTCTCTGAGGTAGGTACATGTTGGTTGGGTTTTCTGTGGATCCATGGAAGGTTCTATTAAAATAGTAATAAACAATTGAACTCCTCCAGCTCCAAAAGAGGTATAGTTGTTTCACCCATGTGTTCATTCATTGGAACTCGTATTTATTACGTGCCTACTGAGATAGTTAATTGTGCCAGCCTGACCGATAAACACAAGTGGGATTAACTGAAGGGCAGTGAGATAAATGGCTCAGTGAACCTCGCCTTTCTTGTCTCTCGCTCTTGATCATCGGACCAGTGTGCGGCTGCCTTGCTTGTTCTGTGCCTC